GTTTTATGATGGGTCGCCAATGTATCATATTGGACATAGACTGTGTTTTGAATATATATATATATATTTTTCCAACACTGGATGCAGGTCTACCACTGGGGGAGGGAGTGAGAGGTGCAGCAGCCCAATTCACTTACATGGCTGACATGGGGGTCATCTCAATTGAAGAAGCAAGAAGACGAATGAGAATCCTCTATGCTGTGAGAGCTTCTCAAATCTATGGAAACTTGAATCATTTAGATAATGATTTTGTTTCATATATGGTTTGATAATGTTATGAAGGAGATGCAAGACCTCCTCAGATGAATTTTTGTTTGGGGTAAGGAGATCTTGCACCTCCTTTGTTTCAGTTTCAATGCATCATGAGGACCACCTACTGCACCTACTGCGCATGCTACTCCATTGGAGCTCCTGGATGAAGGAATGATCTACACAGGCTGGAGTTTTCTGTGACTGTGGATTTGAAAGTATCTCATGTCAACCATGCACTGTGCAATATGTTCATCATCATGCCTCCTGATCAGGTCCTCCTGTAGCCCCATATTCTCCTACATCACCTATTGATGCTTGAGAGCAAGCCGAAAAACCCAAAGAGGGCGAGGATTCAGACATGGATTGAGTCAATTGAGCTTCCCTGGAAAAATGATTGGAGATTGTGGGCGCAAGCGACTCTTTAAGGAGGTGCAAGATCTCCTTGATGAACTAAATTTAAGTAAAACATGATATCTGTGATATGAGCATTTCTGCATGGCTGAAGCTGTCAAGTCATATTGATCAATGTATTGGTGATGGGTCAAATGAATCATTTTTGAAGCCTTGACGGATGCACATGATCAGCTTTGGAATGATGATGAGAGCTGATGATCTTAACCTGAGGTAGCACAATCATTGCACTAGTGTCCAATACTGGAATCAAAAAGGAGGTGCAAGATCTCCTTGGCCGAAGCTGATGCCCATCCATTTCCTTTGTTTGAGTGGCTCTTGGCAACTCTGGATACAATTCATTCAGGTCATGCATGGTGACTGTAAAGGTTTCAAATTGGAAAAAAAAGGATGTTAAAATTGGTTAAAATTAAAATTGCCAATTGTAATTTTAACCAATTTATATATTACTTTTAAAGGCAGGACAGGTTAAAATTAAAAATTGCAATTTTAATTTCAACCAATTTTAACTTCCAGTAAAAATCACTTTGGATCCAAAATAGAAACCATTGGATTTGGAACTGGAGATTCATAGACATCCCAACTTACTTCATCATTACACTTTTCAGTTTTCAATGAAAGGTTCAATGGAACCTCCAAAGGACTTGCCTCCATGGAGGAAGCAGCCACTGGCCACCATTGAGAAGAACCCTGTGGACCCAATGGACAAGCAGATCGCAATGATCAAATGTATGCCAACAAAGAAGCTTTTGAAGCACTATGAGTACCTGAGAACATCTGAGACTTGTAAGCACATTATTCATGGATGAAATTCATAGATTCTGTTGATAAAGCTGGCTTGATGAGAAAAGAATTACACAGATCCCTGAACCTGTGGCCCAACCCAGGAATGCGCAACTACAAAGCATTTGGCACTTTACCTCAGGCACTGCTTGTTCAAGAGAGGTGTGAAGACTGAGCCTCTGGTACCTAGAAAAGAAACAAGTGGCAAAGACCAGAGCCAAAGCAAATAGAAGCCAATTAATTACTGCAAGATAATTAGTGGGGGAAAATGCCTGTGGACTTGTGGCTGGGCAGGGGGGGTTGTGAAGACATATGATATTTAAGGAGAACAGAGTCCTCCTTTATTTCCAAGGAGGTATTTCAACCTCCTTATAGATGAGATCCTATGGTGTGGCAATCAATTGCAAGCTTGTGCTGCTTGGTGCACTCTCAATTTTGTAGCTTGTCTTTTTGAGCCAAGTACTTGAATGAATATATATATATATACACACACATACATACATGCACATATATGTATATACACACATGTACGTGACATATATATATATATATATATAGAGTTTTTCAAGAGAGCGGGTAGTCATGGGGGGCGAGGTTGTGAAAGTCCTGATTTTGTTTTATTAGTCATTAAATTCATAATTATATCAGCCATTACATTAATCATTAGATTAATCATTACAATATTCATTATATAAGTCATTAAATGAACCGTTAGATTAATCATTATATTTATCATGAAATGAATCATGATATTAATCATTATATTAACCATTATATATAGGTAAAATCATTATATTAGCCATTTTATAAACCATTCAAAGAATCATTCAAATTAATCATTATATTTATCATTCTATGAGCCAATTATATCATTCTATTTATCATTCATTAATCATGATATTAATCGTTATATTAGTCAATAAATTAAAATTAAATCAGCCATTACATAAATCATTATATTAATCATTTTGTTAGTCATTATATAAGTCATAAAATGAATCATGAAATGAATCATTATTTATCATGAAATGAATCATTATTTTAGTCATTGTACAGAAAATTTTACTAACAATTAAATTAATCATTAAATGAATCATCATATATATAATCTCTATTTTAGTCATTATATAAATCATTATATTAGTCATTTTATTAATCATTATATTAGCCATTCAAATTAATCATTGTATTATTCATTATATTAGTCATTGAATTAATCTCTTTACTAGTCATGATATTCATCATGATATGAATCATACTAGTCATTATATTAATCATTATATTAATCATTCTACTAAGCATTTTAATATTCATTATACTAGTCATTATATTTGTCATTATATTAATCATGATATTAATCAGTATATTAATCATGAAAATACATAAATAATCATTTTATTAGTCATTATATTAGCCATTTTATTTATTGTTACATTAATCATTAAATTAATCATGATAATAATCATGAAATTAATCAGTATATCAGTCATTAAAATCATCATTATGTTTAATCATTATATTTATCATTTCATTAATCATGCAATGAATCATTATAGAAATATTATCATGATATTAGTCATTATATAAGTCATTAAATTAATCATAATATAAATCATTATGTTCATCATTATAATAGTCATTATTTTAATCATTTAATTAATCATTGTATTCAACATTATATTAGTCATAAAATTAATCATTAAATTAGCCATTATATAAATCATTTTATTAATCATTAATTTAATCATTATATCAATCATCATAATCACAACTATATTACCCATGAAATTAATCATTTTAGTAATCATCACATTAATCATTATAGTAATCATTATATTAGTCATTATATAAGTCATTAAATGAATCATTAGATAAACCATTATATTTATCATTATATTTATGAATCATGATATTAATCATGATATTAATCAGTATATTAATCATTATATTATTCATTATATAAGCCATTTAAAGAGTCATTAAATATATATATATCAGTCTATGAATCATGTTATTAACCATTATACTAGCCAAAAAATTCAAAAAATATATCAGCCATTACACAAATCATGATATTAATCATTATATTAGTCATTGTATGAGTCATTAAATGAATCATGAAATGAATCATTATATTTATCATTATAATAATCATTTTATTAATTTACTATATTAGTCAGTGTATTAGTCATTATATTAATCATTTCATTAATCATTATTTGAATCATGATATTAATCATGATATTGATCATTTTATTAATCATTATATTAATCATTATATGAATCATGATATTAATCATTATATTAAGCATGAAATTCATAATTATAACAATGATTGCATTGATGATTATATTGATCATTATATTAGTCATTTTTCGAACCATGATATTGTTTATTCAATAAATCATGATATATATATATAATCATTATATTAGTCATGATATAAGTCATTAAATGAAGTTTGGTTTTCCATGTTTTTTTTGCAATTTGGCCTGGGGGGCGCAGGTGTGCAAATTGTAGAAACGCGCATTTTTTGAGAGGTACTGTGATGAAAGCATATTCACATGAAAAACATGCAAAAAAACTATGGAAAAATCAAAAAAAAAGTTCAGACCCATGGGCAAGGTCTGGGGAGAGGCCTGGCTGGGGACATGGGTCTGAACTTTTTGTTTTTTTTGTTTTTTTTGTTTTTCCACGGTTTTTTGCAGTTTGGCCAAAACCTCGAGAAAACCAAAAAAACAAAAAAAACAAAAAGTTCAGACCCATGGGCAAGGTCTGGGGAGAGGCCTGGCTGGGGACATTCGTCTGAACTTTTTGTTTTTTTTTGTTTTTTTGTTTTTCCATGGTTTTTTGCAATTTGGCCAAAACTTCGAGAAAAAAAACAAAAAGTTCAGACCCATGGGCAAGGTCTGGGGAGAGGCCTGGCAGGGGACATGGGTCTGATGTTTTTTCCATTGTTTTTTTGCATGTTTTTCATGTGAAGATGCTTTCATCACAGTACCTCTCAAAAAATGCGCGTTTCTACAATTTGCACACCTGCGCCCCCCATGAGTACCCCTTCTGTTTTTCAATATCATCATCTTCCCTTCTCTCTTGCTTTTTCTTTCTTCCTTGGTCCTGGGCATGCTACTGTCTTGGCTGATTTGTTTTCAGAAGCTAAAGACTTGCAGGAACTGATCAGCTGAGACATTTCTTGATTGCAGCCACTACAAGGATCACAGTAGACAGCTCCCAAACTCCAGCTTCTGCAAACATGGGCAAGAATGCTGAGCCTAAGCCTGCTCCCAAGGCCACAGTCAAAAAGGAGAAGGCCAATGTGGATCAGAAAGACCAAGCCAACTTTGGAAATTCCTTGAAGAAGTCGAACTCAGAGGAAGCCCAACAAGTCTTGCATCTCTACCAGTCCTTGCCTCGTTTCTCACAGCAGAAGAAGGATTTGATCCAAGCTTGGAAGGCTGACAAGACTTGCAAGTGGATCAGCACTTGGAACAAGTCTTTGGGAAGAAACTGTCAATGAAAGAGCTGGTTTTGGAACCAGATTCCAAGTGGCCGCCATGCTCGAAATGACAGCTGATTCTGAAGAGTTTCTTGCTGTTGAAAAGCACTTGGCCAAGCAAAAAGGCATGGTAGACTTCAATTGTGATGAGACGAACCCTTTGGAAGCGAGCTACAAGGCTTCCAAGCTCCAGCGATGGAATTTGGGCTTGCTGAAGAGCACCTGGTCTGCTGTGAGCCAAAGCCAAGCAGCCAAGGATAACTTGACAATGTCTTCCAGTGGCTCTGAAGTGCTGCAGATCTCAGACCAGGCTTTGGATGACAAGGGGGTCAGTAAACCTTTGAAGGAGTTTCAGAATGTGTGCGACAGCCTGAATTCCTGCAAGAATGCCTGAGAAGGAGCTTGCCAAGGCCCAGGACCTGGCCTGTCGTTTGGAAATCAAAGGTGGCCCAAGCTTCCATGCCAAAGGCAAAGGTCTTCAGACTTGGTGTCAAGAGCAGTTGAAAGCCATTGCCAACCTTCGATCCTATGTCGCAGCCAGTGAAGATCTTGCTCCTGAGGACACTTCTCCTGAAAGCCTTTCGAAATCATTGCCTGCTGCCAAAGCCTGGCTTGCTTCCAGCCAAGAGAAGCTGCAAGAAGCAAAAGCCAAGGTGAAAACTCACCAGGCATTGCTGTAGGAGCTGTTTGGCCCTTAGATTTTGGAAAGCGCATTTGGTGCAGTTGTCAGTTTTGGAATGTGGAAATGAAGATTAAAATATCTCAGGGATCTGCTTGGAAGATGCGCAGCTGGTAACTGTCGCTGGAAAAAGAGCCTGCTTCTAAGCTGCTGAAAGGAGGTGTACAAGACTCAAGGAGGTGTAAGATCTCCTTTACTGTTTCCCTGTTTCAAAGCATTGGCCAAATTTAGCATTAACTAAATACAATGTGTAACTTCTTGTCTTCTGAGATCTTATGAACTCTCCGGCGACAATACTTCTTGACCATGCATGCACGCCGGAGGTGAGTGGTCTTGAAGTGTCGAGACGGTGCATGCCACAACCTTTGTGGTTTGTGACATTTTGTGATTTGATCATGTTTTTCTTTTGCATTTGGTTCATGTCTCGCATTGCTTTCAATAGAATGATGCATGCCATGATTGGCAATGGTGGTCCCAAATCTGGGAAAGGTCGTACCAGCAAAGGCAAAGGGAAAGGCACTGGAATCAGTTCTACTGCACAGACTCAGCAGAATCCTTTTCATGATGTTTCGTTGCAGAAGGATGCACTGTCGGAAATGTACGCCATGTTTAAGAGCAAAGATGATCTTGAAACAGACCAGCAGTATCGAGCTCGCATCAGAGATGCGCTTCCGAGTGCAGCTTGGAACTTCACGACTCCCACCTTGTTGCCTGAGGAATGGGATGCTCGCGTCTGTCTCCCGCATGAGTTATCAGCTGCAGGTGGTGTTACTTATGCTAGAAAAGATCAACTGCCAGCAGTGCTCAAGCAAGTTTCCTTTACTACTGCTCCAACGGCAGTGGTCACCACTCAGACTGCGAGAGACTTGGGTCTTCCTTATAGCAGTTTTGCTATCCAATGCCGCTTGCAAATTCGCAATGAAGAAGGTCAGCCAGAAGTCGTGGAGGTCCAAAAGCACCTCACACAGTTGGGCTTTGGCGCCCCAGTGGAGATGGCCGTGTCTGGACCATGTGTCATGGCACCTCGCACCATGCACAAAATGGTCATCCGCTATGATGTTGAGTCTGGAATCGCCCCGGAGGACCTCACCACCAGAATCGTTGCAACCACACTCAGCGCCATCGTTGATGAGGTTTACTTTGTGGACGTTGTTGCTCGCAGTGACGGCACTGCCACGGCTATGGTCCAAGACCTTGCTGTTGACAAAGTCCTGTGTGCTAGTGGTGTTGGGCATGTGTACTTCAAACTTCATTCTACAGAGCCAAAAGCAGAAATGCAAGAAATCTATTGGCTCGCAGAAGGATGCACACATGAAGCAGCGCTGCAGCAGAGCAAGGCAGACAAGATTTTTGGGCTTGCTTTCAAGCGATCCACTCTTGGTCCTCGCTTTGGACTTCGTTTTGCTTCTGCTAGTGACTTGGAGCACTTTGTCAAAGCCAACAAGCTCGGTGATCGTCACACCTTTGGTCGTTTCAAGATGTCCAACACTCCTGTCTCCTTTGGTCTGCGGGGCATCTCCGACATGTTGGAACCACATGGATGGCGAATCGAGGAGGTGGAATACTTTGGGGAAGGTTCAGTCACCTTTCTTGCTAGTCAGAGAGGAAAGGTGGATGAACTCCATTGGCAAGACCATCGAGGACGCAAGGTCCCTGTGCGCATCCAAGCAATCAACACAAGAGCAAAGCAAATGGCAAATGCGGCCAGCGTTGCAGCCCGAGCAAGCAGTTCAGTGCTGGTCTCCTCAGACAGGAGATCCAGAGCTCAACAGCAGCTCTTCACCAGACCTCCCAAAGACAAGGAGCCCAGACCAACTACTGGCACTACACCGCAGAAGAAGGTCCAGAAGCAAGGGGCTTTGGAAGATGAAAACTCGTGAAGCCTGGCCTCAATACCTGCATGAGTACCTGAGTTGTTTGAGCTCAGGTTTTTTGCTTTTTCCTGGTGCTCAAGATTTGTGCAGAATATCTTGGCGCCATGCTTTTGCAGCAGCAGCAGCAACAGCTTCTTTTTTGCGGGACAACTGCATTTTGCGTTGTTCCATCTATGGTTTTCTCATTGGCGACATCAATCATTTTATGCGCATGATCAATGGCAACAAACTTACAATCACCTTTTTGAATTGCGATGGTCTCATGACCAAGGAAAGACAAACTGCGATCGGTGCTTTAGACTCCGACATTATTGCTTTGACTGAGACGCATCTCAACAATGATTCTATCCAATTGGCCAGCGGCTTTTTCACTGAATATGACGCTCATTGGGGTGCTCCTGTGATTGGAAAGAATGGCGGAGTCGGTTTTTTAATCAAAAAGAAGACCTTGTGGCATACGAATGTGATGCAATGGTATGACTCCTCGCCTTGTCGTGCTCATTTCAATGCCGGAAGATTACATGGTATGTCTATCTTTACTGGCAATGGCAAACAGCAGATATTAATGTATATCATATACGGCGTGAGTGGTGCCAGATGGAGCTTAGACTTGAAGCGACAAACTCATCACATTGTCGAATCTGTTTTGGCCGATGCTGCTTCCCGTGGGTTGCCGGCAATTTTGGGTGGTGATTTTAACCTGGAAATTTCTGATTCTACATTCCTTCAGAGTATGCCGCAAATCGGGTGGACAAATTTAGCAGAATTTAGCCATCAGGCAACAACACCAACTTGTTTCCGTGGCAAGAATGGTAGCGTCATCGACTTTATTTGGGCAAATTCTCTAATGATGGCTTCCTTCTCTGATTTTTCTGTTAGCTCACACGATCTTTTCGCTGATCATGCTCCTCTGCAATGTAGCTTTAATGAGAGTATTCGCGCCCAAGATGTCCTACGCAATCGAGATTATGGTGACACACCTGAAGGTTTTTTGGATGAACCTATCAACTTTGATGACCTTGAGATTGGCAATTTATTTTCAACTGCCATTCAGAACCAAGATGTGGAAACTGCATATCGTATTTGGAATCACTTTGCTGAGCAACATTTACAACGCATTTGGTTTATGCTGGATTCAACCCTCCTTTTCAAAAAAGGTCGTGGTAGTGTGAGATTGGAATCTCAAACTCTTTTGCCACACACACGGGGTGGCCACGTTGCTCCACTTCGCATACGACAAATGTGGAAGCATTGCTGTCGCATGGTTGAAACCACTAAACGTCCACATGGTCATGTTGCAGACAAGGCTTGGTACAAAGCCTATGATGCACTTTGGTTGTTGAATCCTGAGGAATATGCCATGGCTAGTCCATTACTGAATACGCGCTGCTCTTCTGAAGCTGCCCAGAAAGTTCTCGATGTTTTGAATATGGCACTGAGCCGGTTGCAACAGGAAGACAAACAAGTTCGTTTGCAAAATTGGAAGCGTAAATTGCAAGGAAGTGTCCGTGCTCAGCATTCTTGGATGAAAAAAGATACAAGCCAACAACAACATTTTTGTTTCAAGGGCACTGACGGTCTACAAACAGCAAATGTTGGCGAGCAATTTGAAGCAGTGCGTCGCTCTTGGGCCTCGTGTTTTTGAACCAATGATGCAGCTGCTCAGTATTGTGGAAGAAACAGGCAAATGGCCTGTTGCGATGATTAGCGGCTTTACAACTTTGATTCCCAAAACAACTGAACCTCCCGCTACTCCTCTGGAATTAAGACCCATCACGGTATTGTCAGCACTTTACCGTGTTTGGGGCCGTCTTAGGGCCCAGCAACTGAACAAACTCTGGCAAGAAGTATGGTGTCATGATGGCATGTGGGGAGGAAGATCTGGTCGTGGTCCAGAACCGGTAATTTTCGAGGTGATGGCTGATCTTGAAAAGTCAACAAACTCTACATTTGTGGCTGGTCTTAGTTTCGATCTGGTGAAAGCTTTTGACAGGGTGCCTAGAAACGTTTTGACATATATACTGCGCAAAATGAAGATGCCGGTGCAAGTCTTGACTCCTTATTTAGGTATGCTTCACATGGCTTCCCGTCGATACAAGCTTGGTATTTATCTAGACAAGGAATGCCCTCTATATAGCGGAATTTTGCAAGGTTGCCCACTTTCAATGGTGGCAATGAACGCAGTTGTGCATATTTGGCTTTCCGCTATTAATGAACAGTGCCCTACTTGCAGACCAAGATCCTATGTTGATGATGTTTCCATCACAGCAATTTCTGGGGAAAAAACGGCCTTGACCATGGAGATCCGTGAGGCTTTCCACATTTCCGATGATTTTGTGCAATCTATTGGTGGAGAACTGAACAAGAAGAAGAGCTTCACTTTTGGTCACATGTGTGTTGCTGGTGCCATTAATGACAATTTGTCCCACAGCAATACCTTTCGATTGCTTGGTGGTTCTATCGTTTTCCGCGATTCAGACAAACTGAACCCAACGCAACTGGAGAAGGAACGCATGAAAAGCTGGACCAAAACTGTATTGCGTGTTCGAAATTTACCTATACCTTGGAAGGACCGTTGCAACGCTCTTTTACGAACTAGATCTCAGTTCACTTGGGGTGCTGGCTCACATCAACTTTGTACTGCTCGAGGTCATGAAGATGAAATCATCAAATTGCGATCAAAGATCATGCGTGCTCTATTGCGTCGTGACCAATACACTGCCAATCCAACTATTTATTTTGCTCTTTTGACCTCTCCTTCTTTGAATCCGTTTTTCTCAAGAATTATGGATGGCTTGCTTATTGCTTGGCGTGTTGCCAAAACAAGTCCACAGCTGCATGACATGATACATCAATATAGATTTGGAGATTATTGTCAGCACGATGGTCCCTTGTCATTTCTGAGACAGATCAACAACCTTCCAGGTTTCCAAGGTTCGGTTGACGACATGTTTGAGACTGACCCGCATGACAAACATTTATGGATGCATAACGTTCGTGAGAAATGGCGGGCGCATGAATTTCAGAGGGTTTCCCGCGACAGACCGGATTTTCGTGGTATTGAGCAAGGTGTCGATCGCAACTCGACTTTGAGACTGCTGCGTAAACTTGATCAACAGTTTCATGCTGCCACTGATAATTTGCAAAAAGAAGACCTATTGCAAACATCTGCAGTACTTCGCTCTCTGCTTTCGGGAGGACTTTTGACTCAGGACACGAAAGCTCGCCACAAAAGCAAAGGCAAAGAGCAGGTTCTTTGTACTTGCACTGTTGGTGGTCCGTGCACAGTGTTTCACATTTCTTGGTTTTGCACTCACTATAGTCATATCCGGTTACCCATCGATTTCCTTTTCCATGAATTTGTGCAGGCAAAATCTTGTTTCCGTTATGCTGCAATTTTGACTTGGGACGCCAGTGACCTCTTGCGTGACAATATTGAGATTATTCAGACTACACTTGTTCGCATCTGGCGTGCGCACATTACACAGCATATGAACGAATTGCCGACAAATGGGCCTAGTCCAGCACCTGGCCATGAAAATGCTGATGTGAATTTAGCAAGTTCTACTGTGACGCGTTTTCAAGGGCTTGAAGAAAATGGGCATTTCATTTCCTCTCTGAACAATGGAGGTGTTTTCTGTAGGAAGTGTGGGCTTTCCACATATGAGCCCCGACATCGGCGCCTGAAGATTTCGAAGCACTCTTGCAAACAGAAACATATTCATGAAGATTACTGGGTTGATGTGCCGTCTGCCAAGAATAATCCGCACACGATGATGGATCTTTTCAGAACTATTTTGGACGTTGCCAATGGCCACGAACTGGCTTGGAATCTGTCAGTTGCTACCTGTGGTGATGCTGGTAAAATCAAATGTTTGCGCTGTAACGCTTCATATCCATGGAATAACCGCCATAATGTCAAGCACCATCAACCTTGCACTCGCACGAAGAAAAGAGAAAGAACTCCACCAGGATGGATCAGCAATCGAACTCCTTTTGATATTTGCTTTCCAAGATTATGTGCTGCTTTTATTCCAGCTCAAAAAGTGGATGGTCGCCGTATGAGACTTCACCGGAAGACAAGTGTTAATCAAACTACTGCTGCTACACGTCCTAGTTCTTCTTCGAATTCATCTTCTGCTGTCGCGCTTACACCTGATGATGTGATTCGTTTGCCTCAAGCTGTTTCGAGTCTGTCCAATGGTGATGCGGATGGTACTTTTGCTTTCTTTGATGACGTGGGTTGATTTTTGCACTGCCCTGGGTGTACTGGCATCGGCCAGTTTCATCCTAGACAAGACAAACTTCTGAGATCTTATGAACTTTTTTGTTGACATGTTTTTCCAGCTCAAGCCATGTTTCACAAGAGAAATGTAGATTTGTCTAACCTTAGGGAACCTGACCAGAAGAGGTTTCGACACAATGTTTCCAATTTGTTTTTGACCAAGACTGTCTCTGCCAGAAGAGCCAATGAGCTCATGAAAGATGCACAAATAGCTGGAGCCACTGGTGTGAAAGATTTGGTCAAAGGCGCAGGAAATCTGGCAGTGGTGAGAAGCAAGCCAATTGGGAAAAGAATTTGGCAAGGGATATGAAAAGAAAAATGTTGAAGAATTGCCTGTGGTTCAGTGAATACATTGCATTGATCCCTTGCTACAGTCCTGGAACACAAGCAGAAGAGATGAAGAAGATACCTTTTTTTTGCCACATGAGATTCGTTTTGTCTTCTCGAAGCGATCTGAGAAGAAAGACTTGCTGCAGACTGGTGGCATGTGTGAACTCAGCAAGAAACATTTGGCGAACATGCAAACGCAGTTCCAAGTTCGAGAAGCCATGGGACTTGGCCTTTGGATCGATGGCACACCTTACAATTATGACAGAAGTCAAACTTTGGAATGCATCTCATTGAATTTTCCTGGCTTACTTCCACCTAATGGTACTTTGCGAATCCCTTTGTGCTGTATTCCAAAGCACTGGTTCATCAAGGGAGTAACTTTGTCGAAGAT